ATTAATATTTCATATCAATGATTGCATTAAAAATGATATTTCTTGCCAGCACTTCATTAAAAAGGATAAAAATTTCACATATTTTTTTTATTTGCAACAGCTGACGAGCGACGCACGCGAAAAGTTAAGAGTTGGCCATCTTTTTGCTTTGTGCTGGCGTGAGCGTTGTCGAATTTTGGCTATGTGGACGGCTGCATTTGAATTCATGTATTCATAGTCAGCTGTAGAAGCGACGCCAACGCCAACGCAACGCCAAAGTTCTATGTGGACGGGCCTTAAGTTTTGGTTAAACATGAACAATTAACAGCTACGCGAACGAACCTATTATTGAATGCAAGGAGCTGCGCATCTTGAAGCTTTCCAAATGTCAGTGGTTAGCTACAGGCGCCGTTGATGTGCTGACTTTGAACTAGTGATGTGCCGAGTCGGCTATTTTTGGTACTCGAGTATTTTGGTACTCATTAAAAAAAGAATCGAGTCAGGATTCGAGTCAGATACACGGATCAAGTATTCGAGTTCAGAGCTCGGTATTCGAATACGTTATAGATTCGACTGCTGAACAAGCACCCAACCGAAATGCCGACTTTTTATTTAACATGATATTATTATTAACTCCAAGATAGTATATCCGATTTATGTAGATGCAAACATATAAATCTAATTCTTACATACTTACAAATAATAATTTAAATTAAATAAATATAGGGTTCAATAACAGTTGCTTTATTTATCATAGTAGAACTAGAACTTAGTAGTCTGTCATAAAAAAAATATCCAAAGTAAATAATGAGTTAAAACAAATAAATCTTCAGTACCTTAAAAGTTCAACTAGTACTTCAATTATAATGACAATATTCCATGAGATCTAGATTCATAAACAATAAAATTACTCCTTTGGAATTTAAAATTCCTTTCATCTTTGGCAATTAATACCTATAACGGTATTAAAATTAATTTAGTTGTGTGGTGTATTTGGTAAATATATATACATATATTTTTTTTTTAACGCTAAACCGCCATTTATATATCAAAAATACCTGATTCGGTGTTTGATAATTATAAGTACTCGAGACCCATACTCGAGTCTGTGTATGCGAATACTATAATTTGCTTAGTCGAGTACGTGAGTACTTCTAAAATACTCGAGTAAATAGTCGACTCGACTCGGCACATCACTACTTTGCACCACAGCAATTTTGTTGAGTTTGACATTTCACACTGCACAGCAATTGGAGAGCGTTGTTTGATTATATTCTTCCGAAAATGAAATAATTTAAATGTTTTGTCATTAGCCAATACACCAAGTGTTACTGATCAGGTGTTAATACAGATTGCCAACTACTGCCGGGCACTGGAGCACATCAATTTGGTTGGCTGTGCTGCTATTTCTGACTATGGTATACAGTAAGTACCGAATTACTGATGGTTAAGGCATGCAGTTTTCCCCTATGTTTTCGCAACTTTCCAGAAAACTCCACCACACACTTAAGTATTTAGTGCAGTACCCTCACAGTTTTTTTTTTGCATTTCTCTTTTTTCTATTTGCAGTGCAATCGCGACGCATTGCACTCAGCTACGTTCACTACTTGTGCAACGTTGTCCGCGTGTTACGGAGCGTTCATTA